CAGACGCAGGGTGTCGGTACAAACGCTGATGACACCACAGACGCAGGGTGTCGGTACAACGCTGATGACACCACAGACGCAGGGTGTCGGTACAACGCTGATGACACCACAGACGCAGGGTGTCGGTACAAACGCTGATGACACCACAGACGCAGGGTGTCGGATAAAAACGCTGATGACACCACAGACGCAGGGTCTGTCGGTACAACGCTCTGATGACACCACAGACGCAGGGTGTCGGTATCAACGCTGATGACACACCCACAGACGCAGGGTGCGGTTCGGTAAAATACGCTGATGAACACCACAGACGCAGGGTGTCGGTAAGTAACGCTGATGACACCACAGACGCAGGGTCGTCGGTACAAACAACGATAAGCTGATGACACCACAGACGCAGGGTGTCGGTACAACGCTGATGACACCACAGACGCAGGGTGTCGGTACAAAACGACTGATGACAACACAGAACGCAGGGTGTCGGTACAAACGCTGATGACACACACAGACGCAGGGTGTCGGTACAACGCTGATGACACCACAGACGCAGGGTGTCGGTAACAACGCTGATGAACCACAGACGCAGGGTGTCGTAAACGCTGATGACACCACGCAGGGTGTCGGTAAAACGCTGGATGACACCACAGACGCGGGCGTCGGTAACAACGCTGATGACACCACAGACGCAGGGTGTCGGTACAACGCTGAATGACACCACAGACGCAGGGTGTCGGTACAACGCTGATGACACCACAGACGCTGAAGGTACAACCACAGACAGACGCAGGGTGTCGTAACAAAAACGCTGATGACACCACAGAACGCAGGGTCTGTCGGTACAACGCTGATGACCAGGACACCACAGACGCAGGTGTCGTTACAGGTCAAACGCTGAAAAGTGACACCACAGGAGCGCAGGGTAAAACGCTGTTGGTCAACCACAAAAAGGGTGTCGGTTACAACGCTGATGACACCACTCAGACGCAGGGTGTCGGTAGACGAACGCTGATGACACCACAGACGCAGGGTGTCGGTACAATGCTGATGACACACAGACGCAGGGTGTCAGTACAATGCTGAAGACACCACAGAAGCAGGGTGTCGGTACAAAACGCTGATGACACCCACAGACGCAAAGGGTGTCGGTACAACGCTGATGACACCACAGACGCAGGGTGTCGGTACAAACGCTGATGACACCACAGACGCAGGGTGTCGGTACAATGCTGATGACACCACAGACGCAGGGGGTGTCAAGTACAAATGCTGATGACCACCACAGACGCAGGGTGTTGGTAAACAAACGCTGATGACACCAACAGACGCAGGGTGTCATAGAATGCTGATGCACCACTGACGAGCTAAGGTGTCAGGTAACAATGTTGATGACAATACCACAGACGCAGGGTGTCAGTACAATGCTGAAGACTACCCACAGACGCAGGGTGTCGGTTGCACGGATGAACCACAGACGCAGGTTGCTGGTACCAACGCATGATGACACCACATGACGCAGGGTGATCATCGGTACAACAGGAACTCCACAGACGGGTCTTTGATACAATCGCTGATGGACACCACAGACGCAGGGTGTCGGTTCCAACCGCCTGAATGACACCACTGAACCACTCGGTGTCGGTACAACGCTGATGAAACACCACAGACGCCGGGTGTCCGGTTACAACGTGTATGACACCACAGACGCAGGGTGTCAGGTACAACGCTGCATGATGACATAGCCACAGACGCAGTGTGGTCGGTTCACAACGCTGATGACACCCAGACGCAGGGTGTCGGTTACCAACGCTGAAAGACACACCACAGACGCAGGGTGTCCAAACGAACTGCTGATGACACCACAGACGCAGGGTGATGTGTCTAGTACAATGCTGATGACACCACAGGACGCAGGGGTGTCGGTACAATGCTGAAGACCACACCACAGACGCAGGGTGTCAGGTACAACGCTGATGACACCACAGACCAGGGTGTCGGTAAACAACCGCTGATGGTCACACCACTGACGCAGAGGTGTCGGTACAAAACGCTGATGACAACCTAAAGACGCAAGGGTGTCGGTCCAACAACGCTGATGACCAACCACCAGACGCAGGGTGTCCGGTACAAACAAGTAAACGCTGGATGACTAGCCACAGACGCAGGGTGTCGGTAACAAAATCCAACGCTGATGACCACCACAGACGCAGGGTGTCCATAGAAATGCTGATGACACACAGACGCAGGGTGTCAGTACCAATTGCTGATGAACACCCACAGACGCAGGGTGTCAGTACAATGCTGAGAGCCTACTGATCCCACAGGAAGCCCAGGGTGTCGGTTACAACGCTGATGACACCACGAAATAGGGTGTCCGGTATACAACCCTGCTGAAACTGACACCACAGACTAAGTGTGTCGGTCACAACTCTGCTGATGACACCAACCAGACGCAGGGTGTCCCCTCTAACCCCCCCCTGCTGATGACCTCCACCGCACAGACGCAGGTGACAAATGCGGTAGCGTTTGCCTCTATCGCACTGGATGGCATGGTGTACAGAAGGGTTTATGCTAGAGTAGTAACATGCACTAACTCTGCTTACCGCTCCCGCCTCACTTTCAGAGTCCCATTCAAAGGAATCCAGTGAAATCGCACTGCACCCTGATTGTATGTGAACACACAGGAAACAGCACAGCGCATTGCACCATTCATGGTGTCACCCACCTCTTGATGAAACACTTTATGACCCGGACATATGTGAATCGCACAGGAACGCAACAGCGCATGGCCATTCATGGTGTCACCCGCCTCCGGATGAACATGTAACCCCTCGCATAACAAGAAGCCCCCCAACTCCAAGAGGTAAAAGGCAGTTGTAGGTGTTAGGGGATCATGAAAAGCTCTTTGATATATCTGAAAAAAATCCTCTGCCAGACTGTCAGCAAGCTCCTCTACCCCCCTAAACACTCTGGCAGTGGGACTGTCCCTCTTCCTGTCCAGTGAAGGGTATGGGGGCTCTGCATTGGTGGATCTTGATGACATCACAGGAACTTGCAACCAAAGAGTATAGGGGAGGAGAGGGCGGCATGGAGGCGGTTGTACAACCCAGAGGAGCCTGCGGGCAGGAGAGGATCTGGTGTGTAAAATTGTCCAATATTCCTGAATTGGGTTGAGTCATAGGGGGCTATTGTTCCATGGAGGTGTTAGATAAGATATGTATGGGGGGGGGATGGGGGTCTGTACGCAGTTTGGGGGACAATTTGTATTTTATTTGAGAGTAGATGATGGAGTTTTAACTATTTGCCGTCAAGAAATAATGAGAAACAGATATGGCCTGTTGTGGGAACATTTTATTATGTATAACGTTCATGAGAGAATCACCGAAACGCTTTCTGTTCCGAGTCGTCTATCCAGGCAGGATGGGGATTTTTCATTTTCATTATCATTTTTTTGAGGTGTTTGGAGATGACCCAAGACCATTGTGAAGGAGTTGGAGATGATTGGTCACTTATTCAGCCAATCATATCCTCCTGTGTGTGCTGTGGCTGCATTTAAAGGTGGTGTAACCTTGCTTCTAGTTTGTACAGCCCTGACTACCCATTAAGACCTGCAAAAATGCAATCTCCCTCTTCTAAAACTGCTATGTGCAGCAACTGCTCGTCCCCTGGGATATTCCCAAGTGCAGCAACTGCTCTCCCCCTACTATTCCTGTGCAGCAACATGCTCTCCCCGCCTAACTATCTCCCCATGCAGCAACTGCGCTCCCACTACTCCCCGTTGCAGCAACTGCGCTTGGGGATAGATCTCCCCGTGCAGCAACTGCTCTCCCCCTCACTCGGGGTATCCTCCCTGTGCAGCAACTGCTCTCTCCCTACTATCCTCCCCTGTGCAGCAACTGCTCCACCCCCTGCTAACGTCCCCGTGCAGTAACTGAACTCTCTACCAAACTGTCTCCCACAGATGCAGCAACTGCTCCCCTCCCGGCAATCTCCCTGTGTGCTCCCTAGCAAACTGAACTCCCTACCTACTATCCCATCCCCATAATCAAAACTGAACTCCCCCTACTATCTCCATGCAAGTGGCAACTGCTCTCCTCCATACTATCTCCCCCATGCAATAGGGTAACTGCTCTTCCCCACTTCTCCCCGTGCAGCAACTGTTTTTCCTACTAAATGTTCCCCGTGCAGCAACTGTTTTCCTACTATATCTCCCATGCCTAGTATACTGCTCTCCCTCCTAACTATCTCCCCATGCAGCAACTGTTCTCCTAGCACCTATTCCCCATGCAAGTGCAACTGCTCTCCCCTATTATCTCCCTCAAATGCAGCAACTGCTCTCTTCTGCTACTATCCTCCATATCTCCCTGTGCAGCCAAGACTGCATCTTCATACTGATTTTGCGAACTGTGCAGCAACTGCTCTCCCCCCACTATCTCCCCGTGCAGCAACTGAACTTCCCTACTATCTCCCCATGCAGTATCTGAACTCCCCCCACAAAAGACTGTCTCCCCTTGCAGCAACTGCTCTCCTCCTTTTATTTCCCCATTCAGCAAAACTGCTTGCTCCCCCCACTATTCCCCATAACAGCAACTGCTTCCCCCCGCTATCTCCCCCCGTGCAGTAACTGCTCTCCTCCTATTGATATCAGTGCAGCAACTGCTCACTCATCCTATGCTATTTCCCCTTGCAGCAAATTCACTCTGCCTACTATCTCCCTGGCAGCAAATAAAGCTCTCCCCCCACTATTCCCTGTGTGGCAGCATGCTGTCCCCCCCGACTGTCTCCCTGGCAGCAAATCCACCTCTCACATGAGGTATCCTCTGTCTTTGTAGTATTTTGATGGGTAGGTGGACACCCTGCTTTTATTCATACCTATGGTTGATGGAGATGTTTAGGGTTTTTTATTGATCACTGTTTACTGTATGGCGATGGAGGGAGGCTGCATCAACATGTATATGCTGCCCACCACGGGGTTTGGTTATAGTTATTTGTTATTCCCTTCTAGTGTTCTCTATAAGCAATTGTAACATCGTATCTATTATTGCAATGGCGGAGGATTTTAGGACCAGAGTCACAAGACTGAGAAAAATACTAAACCTCACCCCAGGGATCAATCTACCTGCTGACCGGGAGGTGAGAGGAGGATTCTGGGAGGTCACATGAAGTCACATCAACGATCTGTCTGGGGATTCTATTAATAAAACACAGACCTGACTGGAAGAGGTGAGGAGGATTCTGGGAGGTCACCGATGTGACATCACCCCTTATCTCCTATTAATTAAAACACAGACCTGATCCGGAGAGGTGAGGAGGATTCTGGGAGGTCACATGACATCACCCCTTATCTCTATTAATAAAAAACACAGACCTGGACCTGAGAGTGTGAGGTAGGATTCTGGGAGGTGTTCACGATGACCTCCATCACTTCTCATCCGTCTATTAATAAAATACAGACCTGACCTGGTATGGAGAGGTGAGGAGGATTCTGGGATTCTAACGCATGATATTCTATTGGTTCCTCAATAACAGAGATTTCCTCTCCTGAAAGATCAGGTGATCATTATGACCACTATCAACAGTGCCCTCCATGTGACTCCCCTAAAACCCTGAGAGTAGACACAACATGCAGAAGATTCTAGAAGTCACCAAGAAGTATGATGGAGCTGCTGACAGGAGAGGTGAGCGGTGCCGGGAATTCTGGGACATGCTCAGTAACCTTAGACAAGGGATGTTCACATGTTCTGGATGGTGACTGTATCATTGTGTGTGTCAGGTTCCTATAAGGTGTCAGGGTGTCACTGTCTATTTCTCCATGGAGGAGTGGGAGTATTTAGAAGGACACAAGGATCTCTACAAGGACGTCATGATGGACAATCAGCCGCCCCCACACCATCACCGGGTAAGAGGGAGACTTTATTGTAAAGGAGTGAGCAGTACGGAGGATCCACCTAGATCCCCCATCATCTGATAAACACATAGAAACACAAAATGATTCAGTCAGTGTGTGTGTTTTCCCTACAGATGGATCCAGTCATGGGAACCCACCAGAGAGATGTCCCCGTCCTCTGTATTCCCGGGATTCCACACAGGAAGGTCACACCATCCCTCACCATCATCAGGTAGATGATGACAATTATTGGGTAGTTGTGATTTATACACAGCATGTTTGTTACAATGAATGTTTTTATTATATCTTTCAGAGTGGAATCCTCGGGGGATGAGAATATTGATGTTAAAGAAGAGTATAAGAGAGGAGGATGAGGAGTATGGAGTGATGGAGGAGTTTTCAGAAGGACACAAGGATATGATGGAGCCACCTAATACCAGGAACCCACCAGAGAGATGTCCCCGAGTCCTCTGTATTTCCGGGATTTCACACAGGAAGGTCACACACCATCCCTTCACTATTACAAGGTTGGTGGGGCTGAGAGCATGGACTTGGGGACAATATATGGATTTTTTATGTGAGCTTATATTTTACAGGTGACCTCTTCTCTCATTTTCCTTGGTTTAGAGTGAAGATCTGATAGATATAAAAGTTGAGGTTAAAGAAGAAGAAGAAGAGGCGTATGTGAGGGATGATCAGCAGTCTATGGAGGAGGATGGAATAACGGGGACATTTATAGAGGAGGACACTCCTACAGAGATCAGCACAGGTGGGTCATGAACACTAAATCCATTTCCTCCACCCATACTGCTCACTGATTGGTCCAGAGTAGGGCGTGGACTGGGTGATATCAGCCTGTAAATCCCCTTGGTCACTTTCCTGAGCTGTGTTCCCCGTCCTGTATTCCTGGATTTTCTCTCGGATAATCTTCCTTCTCTGTGCTGCAGACACAATTTATGTATCTAGACTGGATTTATGGAGGTTTTCTGGGGTTCAGCTGTCAAGAAAGATGTTTCATTTCACCATAGACATTACTAGACCTAGGCACCTGGGGTGGTGTGCTTTGGGTCTTCTGCTGCCATGCCTGGGTCTCATAGTAAGATTTCTGACAGAACAATTCTCCCAGGGTTCTTGCTCTGTGGTCTGCTGGCTGTGCCGGGTGGAGGGATAATGTCTGTAGTGTCTCAGACCCAAGTCACTGAGTGCAGTCTCAGGAGATGGGAGGCAGCGGTGTGGGATCTCTGCAACTTGTCTACAGTAAACATTTAATCTTCCACTGATTACTGAATACCAATATTATGAGTCCTGACCCTTATACTGTATAATTTATATTGTACATTAATACTCCTGACCTCCTGCACTATATACTCTATGTTGTACATTACATTACTATACTCCTGACCCCTGCTCTCTATCTCTTCCAACTGCTATATATAAACATAGGAAAACATTGGGAAAGATGGCGATGAGTGATAGAGGGGGTGGGGCCCCCTCGTCCTATAATCCCCTCATCACTGTCCCTCCTATAAAAGACAGTTCTGGTTGTTTCCTCACTCTCTGACTAAGGTCCATGAATAAAGAAATATCCTGGTAGGAGAATCAGAGGAGCCATTTCCTAGTTCCCTTGAGGGTGGAATTTGTAAGCTCCTCAGAGACCAAGCTGCCTGATGTGGGCGGAGTCCTGGTTTGGGGGAACCAATCAGCTCCTGTCTAGTAATCCTCTTTGTCTTTGTATTTTAGTCCATGACCGGGAGATGAGGAAAACCTCCAAGGATTGTCTCACTTTGTCTCCAGACTGGAAAGTAGAAGATGAGGACCTCACACAGTATATTCCAGGAGAAAACCCGGCTCCCTCCAAATGTCCATCCGGGTAAATAAATAGACTATCACCACCCAGTGTAGATGGACCATCGGATTCCTCGTATCCTGAGGAACCTCAGACTGTGCGGGACCAGGCCGGCCTTCCAACAGGGAAGAGCTTCTCCTGTTCTGAATGCGGGAAGGGTTTCTGTTCTAAATCCAAACTTACTATGCATAAAAAGATCTCACACATGTGAGAATCTGTATTCCTGTCCTGAATGCGGGAAATGTTTTTGTAGAAAATGTCAGATCTTGTCATACATCAGAGATCTCACACGGGGAGAGAAGCCATATTCCTGTCCTGAGTGTTGGAAATCTTTTTCAGTGAAGTCTAATCTTTATAAACATCAGAGATTGCACACCTGGGGAGAAGCCATTTTTCCTGTCCTGAGTGTGTGAAATGTTTTTCACAGAAGTCCTATCTTTACACACATCAGAGATCTCACACGGGGGAGAAGCCATATCCCTGTCCTGAGTGCGGGAAATGTTTTTCAGACAATTCCCATCTTTACAGACATCAGAGGCTGCACACGGGGGAGAAAGCCGGCATTTCTGTCCTGAGTGTGGGAATCATTTTCAGTGAAGTCACATCTCTTATACACATCAAATTTCTCACACGGGGGAGAAAAGGCATATTCTTGTCCTGAGTGCGGGAAAAGTTTTTCAGGGAAGTCCCATCTTGACACACATCAGAGACTGCACACAGGAGAGAAGCCTTAATTCCTGTTCTGAATGCGGGAAATGTTTTTTTCTGATAAGTCCAATCTTTACAAACATCAGAGATTGCACATGGGGGAGAAGCCGTATATCTGCCCTGAGTGTGGGAAATGTTTTTCAGTGAAGTCCAATCTTAAGAGACATCAGAGATCTCACACAAGGGAGAAGCCACTTTCCTGTCCTGAGTGAGGGAAATGTTCCTCACTGAAGTCTTGTCTTCCTGTACATCAAGGGGTCCCACACAACCCTGGAGGTGTATTAGTGCCTGGAGTGCGGGAAATGTCTTCTAGAAGAATGTTGCTGGACATCCCAGCTCTCATGTTGGGGAAGAAGCACCCCCTGATATACACCTCAGATATACTCCATGGCTGATCTTCATCATGGAAGAAACAGTTCATAAGGAGATCAGAGGTCCCCAAAGACATAGATGAAGTCTGGCGACCGTGTTGGCCATTGATAGGAGAAGAATAAAAATGGAGTCCTGCCTGAAAGGATTCTAGAGAACCTCCATTGTGTTGATGTACGCTATTTTAAGTATTAAGTTAGGTTTTTGCAGATATATTAGAAGTTTAATGGAACTGTTTTAGTTTGCTGAAGGAATATATCAACAAAAGATAACATGACCCTGACATTGTTCTTTGTCCGGCTATTTCTCAGAAGCTAGCAAAAACAGTTTTTGCTAGCTTGTTTTTGCTAGCAAGAAATGTATATGTCATGTTTCATGTAGTCAGCTCATGATGGAAACTTACAATTACAGTTTTAGAACTCGCTCCCCCCCCCTTATTATTTCTGTATCCTATATAATCTTAGTAATGTCTAATAAATTTTGAACATCTCTGAAATAAGCTGCCGTTTATTTCCGTGTTCAAGGGGTGTTCCAGAATTTGCTGATAAACCAGGAATCTCTCCAACAGACCGGGGGTCTCTGAGGGGATAAGAAAATCATCCTTTCAGCATGGGGGCTTGGCCAGGATGACCACCCACCTCACTTGGTAAGTAAACCTTTTGTCTTTTTATGACCAAAAGCTCTTTCTTGCCCTGTGTTGAGGGGAAGGTCTTGAATCATTTCTGTATTGTCTATATAGACCCGTGATAACCTGCAGCTACTTTTGGTAAGCAGACTTAACTCTTTGATAGCGTTACAAAAGAGTGCACTATATATATATATAAAAAAAGTAGTGTTTTTGGTAAAACACCAGATTGTTCTTTGGTAGAACACACTGTCCTTTGGTAGTGTTAGGGATCCAGGTATGACCAGAGATGTGTGGGACTGAACACAGGGAAGCACGTATATGATCCAAACGCACACGTTCCTGCGTTAAAAATGGCTGTGGTGTATGAGTGGGTGCTGCAGTGACCATCGGCTGGAACCGAACAAAATCAGCAAGGAAAAAAATGTCACCAGCACACCGAGGATCACCAATATGGGTCCAAAGGTTTTAATAAACAATCACATAGTTACAGCAAGGCAACGTTTCGGAGTCTCGCAGGACCCCTTCATCAGGCATGTGACGTCACATGCCTGATGAAGGGGTCCTGCGAGACTCCGAAACGTTGCCTTGCTGTAACTATGTGATGGTTTATTAAAACCTTTGGACCCATATTGGTGATCCTCGGTGTGCTGGTGACATTTTTTTCCTGACTGACACAGGGAAACGCAGGCTTCAAGTATGGTATAAAACAATATATAATTTATTAAGATTATACAGTACACAGTGCAAAAACCAAACCTTCAATAAATAACAATATGTGGACGGGAACACAAACACAGTCAGGCAGGGTCAGTAAACTATCGGGCAGACGGTACAAGGAGCAGGCAGGAGAGTGGTCAGGAATAGCCGGGGGTCAGTGCAGGCAGAGTTCTAGCAGAGTCACGATCAGGCAGAATGCAGATACAGGGGCTATAGGAACAAACACCAAGGCACTGACTGCAGGCCTGGCCATTGCTTAAATACACCTCCTGCAATCAGTTCAGGTGATGGCTTGATTGCAGAAGTGAGATTCTGGCTGCTGAGAGCACCCGCTGGCCAGCACTGGTTACTGCAGCCCACAAGGGCAGGTGAGCCCCAGCACCACCTGTGCTGAGCCCATTCCTAACAGGTAGAACAGTGAAGAGATAACTTTTGGGAAGTTATCAAAAGGTTAATAAGTTTGTGGAGCAGATTCTTGTTTATCTTTTGCTTTTTCTTTCTGTCGCATAGAAGTATAAGATAATTTGTTGTGTGGAACAAAATAAGATTATAAAAAGGTAAGATAGATAATCTTATCCACTGTCTAAATATGGGTCAAGGAGGTAGTTACCCACCAGGTCCCCCAGAAAAGGGAGAAAATTGTAAGGATTATGTTGCTAGAGTTTGTGGAATGGATTATTTAATAAATCGCTGGGTGGATTGTATGGCAGGCTGGACAGAAGATATGGGAAGTACAGACCCATTCCAGAGAGAGGGAGAGATTTTATGGGAAATTTTAGGGATTTCTCTGAGAGTAACATCAGAAGGAGGTATTGTTGCCAGATCCTCCAAAGTACCTATTATACCCACCTATTTCAATGATGAGAGTCATCCCTCACACATTACATCCCCTCCTGATACACATCCAGTTTGGGCCACAAATTCTATGGATGTAGGATTGATTTCATGTACACCATACAGAGTCACACTCAAGGAAGGGGCATTGCCCTACAAACAGAGGCAATACAAATTGTCGCCAGAGAAGGAGGAAGGGATTGCTCCTCTAGTGGAAAGATTTTTAGAGACAGGTATTTTAGAAGAAACTGTTTCTCTCCTTACAACACACCTATCAATCCTGTTAAGAAGCCGGATGGCTCTTACAGGTTTGTACAAGATTTGAGGGCCATAAATAATTTGGTGGTTCCATTAGCCCCAATAGTGCCTGATGTGCCATCACTCCTCACCTCCATTCCATCCGATGCAGAATATTTTTACAGTGATTTGATTTAACAAATGCATTTTTTTTGTTCCTGTGGACCACCAGACGAGGGCGCTATTTGTATTTATATTCTGAAATTGCCAGATGACCTGGTGTAGAATGCCCCAGGGTTTTGTAGATTGCCTGCAGTCTACTCACTTGCCCTCCAGACCACACTGAGGTCCTGGACCCCTCCCAATGGTTCGGTCCTCATTATATACAGTCATGGCCGAAATTGTTGGCACCCATGATATTTTTCCTGAAAATCAAGTATTTCACACAAAAAAGGTATTGCATTAACACATGTTTTGCTATACACATGTTTATTCCCTTTGTATGTATGTATTGGAACAAATATAAAAACAGAGGCAGAAAAAGCAAATATGACATAATGTCACACAAAACCCCAAAAATGGGCTGGACAAAAGTATTGGCACCCTTAACTTAATATTTGGTTGCACACCCTTTGGAAAAACATAACTGAAATCAGTCGCTTCCTATAACCATCAATAAGCTTCTGACACCTCTCACCCGGAATTTTGGACCACTCTTCCTTTGCAAACAGCTCCAGGTCTCTCTTATTGGAAGGACACCTTTTCCCAACAGCAATTTTAAGATCTCTCCACAGGTGTTTCAATGGGATTTAGATCTGGGCTCATTGCTGGCCACTTCAGAACTCTCCAGCGCTTCTTTGCCATCCATTTCTGAGTGCTTTTTGACGTATGTTTGGGGTCATTGTCCTGCTGGAAGACCCAGGATCTTGGACGCAAACCCAGCTTTTCTGACACTGGGCCCTACAGTGCGACCCAAAATCCTTTGGTAATCCTCAGATTTCATGATGCCTTGCACACAGTCAAGGCACCCAGTGCCAGAGGCAGCAAAACAACCCCAAAACATCATTGAACCTCCACCATATTTTACCGTAGGTACTGTGTTTTGTTCTTTGTAGGCCTCATTCCGTTTTCGGTAAACAGTAGAATGATGTGCTTTACCGAAAAGCTCTATCTTGGTCTCATCTGTCCACAAGACGTTTTCCCAGAAGGCTTTTGGCTTACTCAAGTACATTTTGGCAAACTGTAGTCTTGCTTTTTTATGTCTCTGTGTCAGCAGTGGGGTCCTCCTGGGTCTCCTGCCATAGCGTTTCATTTCATTTAAATGTCGACGGATAGTTCGTGCTGACACTGATGCTCCCTGAGCCTGCAGGACAGCTTGAATGTCTTTGGAACATGTTTTGGGGCTGCTTATCCACCATCCGGACTATTCTGCGTTGCAATCTTTCATCAATTTTC